TGTGGTGTTTTTTTTTTTTTTTTTTTTTTTTTTTTTTGCTATTGTGGTTTTTTTTTTTTTTTTTTTTTTTGTTTTGGGGGGGGTGGGGGTTTTTTTTTTTTGGGGGGGGGGGGGGGGGGGGGGCGGGGCACGAGAGACTGGAGTGAAGCACAGCCGGAGACAGAACAAAAAACGAAAACGACAAAGCGATATGAATGAAGAACCATATTGTAGGGAATTGGGGAGGGGATCGGAGGTTAAACGATACAAACACCTGTGGCTTTTATGAACGAAAAAATGCTTATGTGTTGAATAATTTTGAGTGTTGGTGAAACTAGATTGCGCCTCCACGGTTTTTGTCTCGATCGGCTACGGAAAATCCTTTTTTCGTTTGCTCTCCCGGTTTCGTTTGGTTTCACTCCGTTTGGTTCCGCTTGGTTTCATTTCATTCTTTTCGTATGGTGTCGTCTGGTTCCGTTTCATTTCGGTTCGGCTGGTGCCGCTTTATGTCGGTGGTTTCCTTTCGCTTCGAGGCCAGGTCTGGGTGCACGAGCGGAGCCGGCGGCAGGGGGTGGCAACCCGTCTCGTGGACACGGTTCGTGAGAAGATGGTGTACGGCATCTCCCTTCGGCGCGAAGAGGTACGTTAGGAGGAACAAGAGGGGCCGGAGGAGTTAGCTTGACTGAAACTCTGCCAGGATAGTCGCGACGCTGCTGCAGTTGTTGTGCTAGGCCCCGCCGGCCCTAGCCCTTGGTGTAGTTGCGAACAACTCAGAGTTTGGGGGGGATGCATATAGTATTTTTGTTGGGTCGTTGAGGTTCGCTGGCTCTTCGAGTCGAATCACCTAAGCTGTGTGAACTTGGGAAACATCACAACTGGCGGCTGGCAGCGAGCTCCTGCTGCCTGCTTTCGCTTGCCATCGTTTATCACCTCTGGATGACGCTGTGCTCTCATGAGCCCATTCCGGAAAGGTGTCGCTTGTGTGTGGTCGTTCTTTCTCTCCGCGTGTCACTGCCCGACAGATGTTCACTCCCTGCCTACAGCAGTAGCAATGCCTATTCCGGCGGTGTACCTGTAGTTTGCCTTCCTCATCGACAAGCGTCATGCTCTCCCGTGGGGTGGTGTTGTAAGCACATGGTGGCGCATTTCTTATCCTTCCGGTGCCCAGCTTCTTCTCTCCCAGCGCGGTCGTGCTCATTGGATGAGGTACCCGACGCAATGCCAACAAGAATACCGGACGCATCTCTGACATACAGCAGTCTACGCAGGTTTCGTTGGTAAAGGAAACATACTGGATACAGTATAGAATCGGCTAGTTGGGGGTTAGGGTTAGGGTCTGCGTGCCCCCCTCCCTGGTCTTTTTTCGTAATAACCTTACTTTCTTTGCGGGGACATGTTTGCTTTTTACGAAAAAGCTGCAAAGTCTACTGAGTCCCTGACATGTGCATATCATTTTTTTTTTTTGTTCCGTCGATCGTCTGCCAACGCCCAGGTCGCCTTCTCCCAGCCCACCCGGGAGGGTCAGGCCTTCGCCACACGCTACACCGGGGGCAAGGGCAGGCTCTTGGTCTACTGAGCGAGCAGCGAGGTCTAGCAAAACATCGATATGCCCTTGTTGGCAGCGTTTTTTTGTTTGTTTCTCGAGGTGACAGGGCCGTTTGTCGCCCGCACGAGAGTCATCGGCACCACCTCGCCGGCAGCAGCAGCAGCAGCAACAAAAACAGCAGCAGCAGCAGCAGCAGCAGCAACAACAAAAACAGCAGCAACAGCAACAACAGCAGCAACAGCAGCAACAGCAGCAACAGCACCAGCACCAGCACCAGCAACAACAACGACAACAACGACAGCAACAGCATCAGCACCAGCACCAGCACCAGCACCAGCACCAGACCAGCGGGCGCACTCGGAGCGCCGATTGCTCAAAGAATCGTTGACCGCACGTGTCGGTTCAGCAGCAACGAAGCGCAGAAATAGCATCCGCACCGACGGTGGGACAGGATCGAGGAAGAGGGGTGCAGGATGGTTGGGGGGTTCTGGTACCTCTGTGCGTGTGTGTGTGTATGTTTTCTAACATATATCACGCATTGTTTTGACTGGATGTTTTCTTGTGTCGTCGTGAAAGGGTACCAAACTTGGCAAAAGAAAATATAAAATGGAATTTATTTTTTGGTGTGGACAAGGGCAACCCGATTTTTCGCGTCACGACGGGGAGAATGACGGGCCAAAATAGAGAGGAGGGCGGTTGGTGCATTTCCCACCTATTTGAGGACCTACAGCAGCTTGCTTCCCCGCCCAGACGAATTCGTCTTTTGGGGCCATTGCGTGACGTTTGTTGTGGAGCTTTTTTACGTCGTAAACGCCAGAGATAGGTCCAAACCCGGACTATGTGGTTTCTCGAAAGGAGGGAATGGAGGGGTCGCCGTGAGTTCGCTTCCCTCTCTAGTACAAGCATCTCCGGGGCGCCGTGAATTCACTGCCCTATCTGGGTGTATGCGGGGCACCGTGCATTCACTGCCCTCTCTGTTTCAGCTTCTCTCCTAATGAACGGGCAGCTGCGCTCGCCGCCAAAAGAGAGATGGGGGGATTTCCTTTCGTGCGCGACAACTTCGGTCCGACGGGTGTGTGTCCGGGTTCACGCACGCTTGTGTGATGAGAGGGACGGGTGGTTAGAATGATAACTCAATGTCAGTCATTACACAGTAGGACTTGTAGAACTTGTACTGCTGTGAAGTGGGCCAAGGTTACATCCCGATCGGCGTTTGTTTGCTACTTTGATGGGGACCCCGGGCGGCGCGCGGTTGTCTGCGCCCCCCCCCCCCTGGTTCAATATTGGTGTCTTGTTGTGATTTGTGTGGTCACGGGCGAGGGGTGCTTGGGTTTACGCATGCATGCATGTGATCAGGTCGAAAAGGGACAGACTAGTCGTTGTTGGTTGCAGCAGTGATGGGGTTCCTCGCCGCGCAATTGTTTGCGCGGCCGCGGCTTTGCTGTGTGTTTTGATGTGGTGTGTTTGGTCACTTGGAGAGGGGAGGGCTGTGGATGATCATTGTTTGTCTGGCGTGTCCAGGTATTTCACAACGGGGGTACGGAAACCCGCGTCGACTCCTCCGGTGCCAGCGATTAGTGCTCGCGGGGTTGCGGGGACGCATCCTCTCTTGAACGGCACCGCCCATGTATGTGTGTTACGGGGAAAGCGCGCTTTCTCTGTGACGCTTGGTGACACCCCCATTCTACGTGTAGGAGGAAATTGCGACTTGTGTAGGGTGGCGTTTCGGGAACCATTCGGCCACGCAAGCCGGTTGTACAGGAAAGACAGAGGTATTTGTGGGTCGTGTGGGTTGAATCGATTGACAGTGTTCCCTGTTGTTGTTTCGTTATGTCAATCTTTCGGTTTCGGGGGGCTTTGGGGGGCTTGTAGTGTCCTCCCAAGTAGTGTTCCACTGCATGTGTTTCCAGGAAGTAGATTTATTCGGTGTTTCTCAAGGATCACGGCAGTGTGGCCGCTACAATAGGCTTTGGTGAGGGTTTCCTCCCTGGTTCTTTGGACACGGAAATACATCCGTGTGTCATTCCCGGGGGGAGCCCGGGGCTTTGTGCTGGTATTCCTTTAGGAGGCAGCACCAACAACACCAGCAAATTCTTTTTTTGTGCCGGGAGAGAGAGAGAGGGCGCGCGAGAGAGAGACAGAGAGATAATCAGAGAGAGAGAGAGAGAGAGAGAGAGAGAGAGAGAGAGGGAGCAATGGAGTGGCTGAGCACTTGTGATGTGTCAACTTTATTTTCTGGTGCTTTGTGTAGCCTACTTTGCATGTCATTCGAGTTGCTCCTAGCGTTGTTGACATCACGATGTTTGCTGTCATTGTTTTCGAATGGAAAGGATGATGCAGGCCCCATGACCTGTGGGGGAGGGCGTCCTAGCTTGGGGGGCGTTTTTTTTTGTATTGTACATCTAAAAACTGAAACAAGAATCAAAGATCGCGCCAATCAATGACCAAAACAAGAATCAAAGATCGCACCCAAAGATCAAGCAAATAACTGCAAGTAGGATTGCCAGATTCCATCCTTGCGCTGTACCTCTACTACAGCAGTCGGCCGGGGTATAGTCACTCGCCGCCGGTTTTATAACGGCCAAGCGAGCTGTACCTACTTGTTTTAAGTTTTGCTCTCGCTTCCTGGCCTGGGTGCAAAGCGCTGACATGTACCATGTAGCTCGAGTGCACACAGAGGGAAGAGAGTGTTGGACTCTTCTTCTCGCATCAAAAATTGAAGGCAAAGCACCGCAGGAGGAGGAGGGGTGGGTAGGGGGCCCCGGAGGGAGAGGAACCCTTCCGTGTGACCACGGGTTGGAGTGAACGGCACAAACCAATAAATGCTGTGAGCGCTGATTTGAAATGAACAAAAAATGTACAGCAGTACACACACACCCAAGAAAATGACCAGAAATTTACTGGCGGTGTGGGTGATTCGATCACTCCACCCAACTCCACCAAAGCGCAAACACACCAACAACACCGAGTACGAAGAAAATGAGAGTATAGGATAACTCCATCGTCACAATATGGCAATGAGGCAATCATGCAATCCAGACAACGAGAAGGTAGCTATGCAAAAAGCAGAGAGGGGCCCGTTTCTAACGCCTCCCATCATACTCTGTCCGGCACAGATTAGATCCCGCTACACTACAGCATCATTCTGCTCACTCACGCACTCACCACGAAGACGGGGGGGGTCGGACATTTTTTTGGCGATTTCTCAAGAATAGAATGGGGGGCATATATCGGATCGACACACTTTTCCACGAGGGCCTCTCGTGCGCTGTTTATATTCCTACACAGCAGACGGATGAGATTTCTATGGTACGACGTATTTATGTCAGATATCGCGATAAACCAAGAGGGAATCGTGTGTACTTCTTCAATGTGGCACGAAGACAGCACACGGAATTAATTAGTGACGATGCAAGACGATGATGTAATCAAGACGTCAGCCCAGGAACGAACGTTCAAGATATTTGACTCTTTCAAGATGATTCTTCATAATTTCGATTCTTTCAAGAAATCCCGCCATCGTGCGAGGAAGTTGGACCGAGTAAGGCCGCCTGCCCATCTCCCCAACTGCAACCCAGCTACTATAGCGCTTATATCCCATCTCTCTCCCTCTCTCTCTCTGTCCAGCGAGCACCGGGAGGCACCCGAGCGGGATGGGCCCAGCGGCCGCTCGCCTTCTTCTGCTGTGCTTTTTGCTTGCAGGCGGAGCTCTGTCGCAAGTCGATGATGATGGCTACTGCGACGGGTTGTCAGAATCTCGTACCGTCTCCACGACCGCTGAAGCTTCCGCTCTTGGAGCGGACCTTGCCCGTTGCCAGGGGCTCGAGTTCATCGTGGCTTGGCAGGGAACCGTCAGCCTTAGCGAGCCCCTGCAGGTGGTCAACTCGACGACCCTGCAGATCACGGGGGAGAGCAAGGAGCAGTCCGTGGTGAGCGGGGACGGGGGCATCACGCTCTTGGTTGCGTCCGAGCTGTCTGTGCTGTACCTCCAGGGCGTTGCGCTGACGGGAGGATATGGGGTCGACGGAGGAGCGGTGGCGGCCGTGGGGGCGTCGTCCGTGACGCTTGTGGACTGCGACGTCTACGGCAACAGGGTGACCTCGAACGGAGGTAGGCACGTTCGATCCTGCTTCACCACACATGCCCCTTTCAGCTGCTGGAATGTTTGCGTGCATACGTTCTGGTCTGTGAGCTAAGTTCTGCTCTACAGCGGTATAGTTGACAGTTGACAGCAGTAGTTGTGCCGTTTTTTGGTGTGATGTGGGGTGAGACGTCCCGATAGGCATATTAATATATAGGCATTAACCCGATCTCACGCCTGACAGCCCGCGTCTTGCATGTTCGCACAACGCGGCAGCGTGCGTGCGTCCAATATGCCCCTGCTCCCTCAAAGATATTTTGCCATCAACAGCTAGCTCTGTCTATCTGTTATCGGGCACCAGTCGTTTGGCCGGTCATCAATCTGGTGTATCTACATCTACGGAACCAGGAGCGTACGTGTAGACTACTGCTGCGAAGTTTTTTGTTAGGCCGTTTTTTTCGAGAACAAACGCGAGGTTGTACGCTTGCACATGACACCCGTTGAGCTCCGTGCTTCACATCGCACGGGCTACTGCCCTGGTAACACTGAGGTCAGCTCATAAGAGTGGTCGATGAAACCAACACAACGGGTAATACCGTAATACCGGCAGGCCCTTCGTGATTTGTCGAGAGCACATAATGGCGGTCATAGCGGTACGCACACCGGAACAAACTTTTGCTCTGTTCTTGCTCTGTTGTCACAAATAAAATGTGCTCGGTTGCTGTCGGTTGGCTGGGGTATCACTGCGCATGGGTACGCACAAAGAGTACGCGCCTGGGTTGTTTTACCTGTCTGTGAGTTTTTTTCAAAAGAAAGTCCTTTGCAGGAGAAGAGCCCCTTCCGCGGTATCAGGTGTATGCCCTATTATAGGCGATGAGTCTAACGTCCGTTCAATAATTAAATGGTACTAAGTATGTATCGATATATTACTGCTGTAAGTCGCCGCAAGAAATGTTGGTGTACATGCCACCTCCTCGGTTGGAAGGATGAGGTACTGCAGTATCAGCTCAGCGCGGGGAATTCGCTGAACGAAGAGTCTGATCATTCTATGCACAGGTTCAATATGCAACGCATGTATGTATTGGGGAGCGTGTTTTCTGTTTATCATGCGGACGGCGTGGCCCCAGTATCCGGCAGGCTGCCTCAACACTAACTCAGCCAATTTATCAAGAAATCAACGACGCACTCCTCCAAGGTGTGCTCACTTGCACGTAGTGAACCGATCACCCTATCGTGTAGTTTAATTAATTTAGCTCGTGAACCTACTACCAGCCGCTTGGAGTTTGATTCTCTCGCTGGAGTGAAACATTAGTTGTGGGAAACGATCTCCGGTGTATTACTGCAGTCTTCTTGAGTTATGAACTGAAATTAACAGCATTTTTTCCGCCGCCGGGGGAGTGTGCGCGCAGCGCGAACAATCGTCGGACACGCTGCCGTGTTAGATAGGGATGTGCTTGGTTGGATGTTTACAACTCCCTCTCCCGATTACCGGAGCACTTGTGGCCAGAGTTCGGGTTGTGGGTAGGTTGGGCACCGATTACAACTTGGGGGGGGAGAGGTCGCACCCCGAAGTGGGCAAGCATTCCCAACAGCAAAACACCCCGCCTTACACAGCTTGACCACAAGCGTTCGTTGTGGCCCGGAGCGACTGATGGCTATTACGCAACCTCCCGACGCGATGGTAAAGTATGATTGTCGGTGCTATCACGCTGGATGTGAAAACATGATAATCGCTGATGATCCCGTGTTGAGTTGCAGACATAACTCTCAACAAATGATCATTGAACCGCCCGTGGGGCACCCGTGGGAAATCCATGGGACACCCATGGGCTGCCCATGGGCCCTTTGGTGCCCATGGGGGAATGCCCACGGGCAAGCGCATGGGTAGCCCATGGGCGGCCAATGAGTGCCCTTCGACTGGAAACAGCGTGCTCCTAAACGATCGATTATCTGCTTTGGAACGGGCATTATAGCGGCTATTAACCCAACGCTAACCGTGACCCGAACCCCAAGCCCACACGATACGTGATAGGTTGGCGCTGGGTGGCTAAGTTCTAGGTTGATGTGCTGTGGCTAAGTTAAGTAGGTTGATATGCCGGTGGAGAAGTTCTAGGTTGCAGTGCCCATGGGCGCCCCCATGGGTAACCCACGGGTATCCCATGGGCGGTTGAGCAAAACTGCCAGTAGTGTGGGAGATTGGCCATGCCATGGTTATGAAGTACGTTGTTGTCAATTTTTGTTGCCTTTTGCGGTGCACCCGGTGTGATCATGAACCCGAACTTTTCTTCCGGCAGTCTGATTCTCACTCCGTCGGCAGATTTTTCGGGGGAAAACAAATCTCATCAAATTTCTCGGGAGTGGTCGCGGTTGCGGATTACTCTCCCCGCGTGAAGCCTGTGTGCGTTTCGTCTACACCGATCGTCGCGCTATGTACGTGCCATCTCGTTTGTTTCGCTTTTGGAAAAATTGGTGCAATTGCTTCTCAATGGCGGGCGAACTTTTGGCTGGTGTGCTGCCGCCGTTGGCTCCCAAAAATATCCCACCCACGCCGTCAAGAAATAATTGGGGTCCTCTTCTACCCCCACCGCTCCTGACGCCGATCTCCCGCTCGTGTGACCTGCCGCTGCTGCCTCTGCCTGTGTTGCCGGAACAACAACCCGCACTAATAGGCGCCGTTTTTCTGGGCGGGGCGTCCAGCTTTACCGCCGGCTGGGTTAACTTCACCGGAAACTCTGCGGACGTGTACGGAGGTGAGCTCGCGGTGTCAGGTCAGAGGGGGCTGCAGTGCCGGCCCGCTCGTAAGAAGTGTGTTCGCAAGACACCCAGGCTCAGATTTGTGACAAACTGTAGGGAAATGCTCTGAGGAATTGAGCATAGCGGCCGACGCTACATTACTTCCTATGTAGAAGCCTGTGCTAAGTGGTGGGGACGAAATAAGGATTGAGCCTCGCTCAAATAGGTGTTATGGGCGGGCCGGCACTGCATCTCTTTCTCCCACACCACTGGCAGTTTCGCTGAACCGCCCATGGGCACTTCATGGGCTGCCCATGAGCTGCGCATGGGGGCAGCCCATGAAGTGCCCACGAAGTGCTCACCGTGGGTACTTCAACCTCTGTAGAACATAGTCACCTGCACATCAGCCTAAAACTTTGCCACCCAGCGCCAACCTAGCACGTATCGTGTGGGCTTAGGGTTAGGGTCAGGGTCAGCGTTATTTTTTTTGCCGTGATAATGCCCCTTCCAACTCAGATAATCTATTGTTGAAGAGTACACTGGTTCCGGTTGAAGGACACTCACTCATTGACGGTCCATGAACTGTCCATGGACTGCCCATGGGCATCACGTGGTGCCCATGGGTGGTTTAGCAAAACTGTAGAAAAGTGTGGGAGACCCGACCACCCGGAGAAGTTGGTGCTGACGGTTTCGAGAATATCCCCTTGAAACAAACAGGCGGCGGCCTTGCTAGCGTGGAGTTCGATTCTCTCGCTGGCGCGCAGTTGAGCCGGCAGCTTGTTCTTTCTGTCGCGAAATTTTACAACCCCCCCCCCCCCCTTGTTGGAAAGTCTACCCGTCGTTCTGCCGCAGTGCTTCCACCTTTGTGCTACGACAGCAGAACACCAACACCGTTGGTAGTTTGCCTGCTTTCCTCCGCAAGCGACGCGACTGCCATCATCAACCAACACCGCCACCACCACCGCCAAGAACCATATCATCAATCAACAACAACACAAGGACAAACTCGGTTTGTGCACGCTGGAACCCTGAACGACGCACGACATTAACAATGAATACGACAGCAATAACAGCAGTTGTTGATGTTGTTGTCTTCACATTAAAAGCCGTTTCGGTCTCCGATCAGTACCTTCTAATGTCCGTACTGGTCCAACTGACGCGGACAGTGCACATTATTGATTTTTTGCACGCTTTCCCCCCGTTGAATCCTCTGCAGGCGTAATTCATGCTCAGGAAGGGTCCACGGTTACGACACAAGATGACACGACGAACCACTTCCACGACAACTCCGCGCTTCTCGGAGGCATGTTTGTTTGCTACGCCTTCGGTTTCGTGCATGTCATTTCCCTCGTTTTTTCGGGGTAAAATGCGTTGTTGAAGGTCCCCACGTGGGACGTCCCGCGGGACGCGTTGGGACGTCCCACGTGTGTTCCACGGGTCAGCTATTGGACGTCCCACGTGAACTTTCAGTGCTGTCAGCACCAGGTTTTGTCCCTCTCTGTTGCACCTTGCTCTTTTTTTCCTTTGTGGTGGGCGGTCGGTGCGTCTTCGGTTGGTAAGGAGGGAGGGCGCGCACTGAACGTGTTGTCACTCGGAGCGGCTCGGCGATTTGTGCTTGTTTCGACTTTGTGCCCGTCGTGTTTCTTTTGGGAGCCCACCAAGTGATCATGATTGATGCCCTTGTCTTGATCATCGTCTGATCTTCGTGTTGGCACCATGAGGAGTACGCTTTTCAAACAAAAATATCACAGTTTTATTGTTCGCGCGCTGCGTTTACAAAATCCACGCGTTCACCTAACAATAGCCTTTTGTATCTAGTCTAAGGTTCATTGCACTCACGAGATGTTGCCACAGCGACGTCTTGTACCATGTTATATACTTCTATAAAGTATTTTTTCCTCCGCTCGCTGCGTGTAATTACTATTGTGACACATCGACTTGAAAATTAATCAGGTGCGATACACTCTCAAGGTAGCTCCACCGTGACGTTTGGCGACGGAGGTGCCGTTTCGATCTCTGGCAACACGGCGGAGTTTCAGGGAGGTGCGAGCGACAACTTGTCCCCCGTGTGTTCGGAGAAAAACGCATCGAAAACACTTGCTATGGAAGCATGTGTATGAACAGCGTCCGCTCGTTTACCGTTGTCGGATATTGAAAAAGCATGCATCAAAACGCTTGCCAAGGAAGTATACACGTGTGAACGGCCTATGTTGGTTCACGACAACCGTAGATTCGCCCCGCACAGGCAGGCCTTCTTGCAAGGACGGCGAAGTAGCTTTGGGCCCGTGGAGCGTAGGGCCTTTCGTGCGCGGTTCAACAACGATACAATTCTACCGCCACCGCCACCACCACCTAAAGCAACAACAACAACAACAATGACAATGACAACGGCAACAAATGACAACGGGAAGAATACATCAGGCAGCAGGACCGTCGATCCTGTCCTGTGTCCGACCAGTCAACTCTGTGCGTTGACTCTCCGTGACAACAGGTGCCGTGAACCTGCAGCACTCTTGCACCATGCGGACGGGGGGGACTACGTGGTTCATCGGCAACCAGGCGGGGAGCAGCGGGGGCGCCGTGTGGGCCTTCAACGGATCGGAGGTTGTCATCACCGGGGCCACCTCTTTCATCGAAAACACCTCGCAGAACTACGGCGGTGAGGTTCGAGTGGGATGGAGCGCCTGAGTGTTGAAGACGGCAAGGGTTAAACGTGTCTTGGGGGTTGTAGTCCCTGCTGCGGGTACGTTACTGTCGCCTGCGTTGTTGGCGGGAGATTGAGGCTTGGCGCTAGCTGGACCTCGTGTGACACAGCTACGGTCGGAGAGGTTCGAGCGGCATAATTTGGAATATCGGTGGTGTCATCATTAACGTTGGTGGTATTGCGTGGACGGGGTGGTGGTGTCCCATGCAATAAACGCATGCCGTAGCCGTTAAACCGTTGACCTCGCATCCCTACAACGCCGGGACGGAGCGATAGGGAGGGTATTGCGGGGGGTTGTTGACAGTTGTCTCCGACGAAGATGGCGTGGAGTTACTGGAGTGAATGAGGGCCTGATTGTTTTTCTTTATTTTTCTTTCGACGATATTTCTTTGAAACCCGTTTTCGTCGTCTGCCGTCCAACTAAACTACGCCCACAGTGAGGGGGAACTGGTCCCAACGCCCGTACAGTAAATAGGAGTAGTTTTTTTCGAGCTGTTAAGGTTGTCTTGGTTTCCTTTGCGTCATGGCGATAAACGTCCTTCACGCCCTCTCTCGGGATGTATGTATGTCGCCTCGAAGAGGCACCACGACGGTGACTAAGGACGGCATTTTCCCGGACCGCCTACGCAGGATTTTTAAGAGTATCTAGAAAAAAGAATAGGGAAGGGGGCACGCAGACCCTATCCCTAACCCTAACCCTAACCCTAAAGCACGGATTGAATACTTTATCCCATATGTTTGCTCGGTCAATTTTTCTGCGTAGACTACTGAGTTTCCTTCACGTACTCTCACGGTGTCTGGCGACGAACAGGCGCGGTAATGGTGACGGAGGGCTCTGCAGTGCGCATCCGCGGGAACACCACGTTCACCAACAACTACGCCCTATTCGATGGAGGTATATATGTCGTTGTCGTTGTTGTATTTAATGTCGTTTTCGTCGTCGTTGTCGGTGTCGGCGTTGTTGTCGCTGATGCTGCTGTTGCTGTTGCATCACTCCTGTGTGGCTGCGGCTGGTTGTTTTCGTCGTCGTTGTCGGTGCCGGCGTTGTTGTCGCTGATGCTGCTGTTGCTGTTGCATCACTCCTGAGTGGCTGCGGCTGGTTGTTTTCGTCGTCGTTGTCGGTGTCGGCGTTGTTGTCGCTGATGCTGCTGTTGCTGTTGCATCACTCCTGAGTGGCTGCGGCTGGTTGTTTTCGTCGTCGTTGTCGGTGTCGGCGTTGTTGTCGCTGATGCTGCTGTTGCTGTTGCATCACTCCTGTGTGGCTGCGGCTGGTTGTGGCGGTTACCCGTGCCACAGCCAGCGTTGCTGACATCCTGAACGATCGGTGTTTGCGGAGGATGTCCGTGTCGCTGCTGCTGCACGGCAGGTGAAGGACGAGAGAGCCCAAAAATGCACGCGCGAACAAGCACGCCGTGGGTCGGTCTCCCTCCACCCCCTCCGCCAAACCCTGCATACTTGCACGTCGCGTGGAAACCCCCAACATGCCAGCCCGTTCTCAAGCGCTCCCTTCCCCGCACCAAAGTAGCATCTCGATCTCTTGCTGGCGTTGTGGCGACCCGATGGGCGCACCGGGCGCCGCCATCCACGCAGTCAGACGCTTTCCCCCAGAACAACACGAGTACCCCCGGCCTATCCCTCCGTACCGGCGTTGTAGGAATGCGAGGTCATTTCGACTACGGCAAGCAACAAATGAGTACGCCCCCCCCCCCCCCCCCCCCCCTTTTAAGCCCCAAAAACCCCTCCCCCGGGGCGAAACAATCGGAAAAATC